TGTGCAAATTCATCATTTTTATTGCAGTCTTTTCTCCTATTAATTTCTTTTGAAGCAAATTGGACTCTCTTAAATCACTGCGGAAAACATCGAGAATCTCAGAATTTCTGGAAAATGTGCTGCAACTTGCTGACACCTATCATGCACTGCTCCTTAACTCGCCAAATCAGTGCTTCTCCTATTAAGCAAGCGTACATGTTCCACTTCCATTCAATAGAACTGATGAAACAAAGAAACTGAAAATTGCCCCTTTTTTAAGTCGATGGTATATTTGCTCGAAAAGGCAGTTCATATTAACTAGAGACGTAGTTCAGGATCGAGGAGCCTGGCATAGCTGCGCCCGGCATGTGGGAGCATCCCTGTAAAGTCATTAACAGGGGGGTCTCCGCACTGATAGTCCGAGCGATCTTGTTATTCATGGCATGTTTGGATTGAAAATGACGGTCCTTAACTTGCCGGAGTTCATTTGCCCAGCCCTTTATGTTCCGTCTAGTTTCACATCTTACGCTGTCTGCCCCAGTTAGGCTTACCTATAAATGACTTGGGCCAGCAAATGCCATGTGTCCTATCAGACTGTGGTTAAACACGTTCTTCATCCGCTTGGTTTTTTTTTTTTTCTGTATTTTTGAAGTTCAGCTCCCTTCACATTGTCTGCAAGTTCATTTAATTGTTTCTGCAGCACCTGCAAAAAAAAAAAAACGTCGAGGGCGATATAGGAATTTTTCGTAAATTCTTTTTTTATGCGTTTGGTGCTGCGTAACAGCAGTACAAAACGCATATTGTCACGCGGTGTCTGTGTGTGTTTGTGTGTGTGTGTGTCCGCAACTTTCAACTCGGGAACCACAAAAGCTAGGAAACTGAAAGTTTAGGGGAACGTTCCCCACCCACGTGTGGCCCCGCAAATTTTAATTCAGCCTTACCGTATCCGCGGGTAACACGTACGGCCCCGTAAAAGTTTGCACGGGTAAAATTATTATCATGGGAACCACGGAAGCTAGAAGGCTGAAATTTTGTGGGCGTGTCCCCTGCCCACACGCAACACAAAAATTTAAATTCAGCCTTCTCCTGCCGGCGGGTAGCACGGACGGCCCGTAAAAGTTTTGGCGGGAAAATTATTATCTCGGGAAGCACTGGATATGCGAAGCTGAAATTTTAGTATAATAACTTCCTGCCCACACTCGGCCTTGCCCATTCAAATTCAACGTCCCCGCGTTTTCAGGTATCACTTACGGGCCTGTGAAAGTTTTGGCGGATAAATTATCTTGGGAACGACGGGATCCAGGAAGCTGAGATTTTATGGGTATGTTCCTTGCCCTCGCGTAACCTAAAAAATTTAAATTCAGCCTTTCCGTGCCCGTAGGTAACATATACGACCCCGTGAAACTTTCGGCGGGTAAAGTATTCTCTCGGGGACAACGGAATCGAGGAAGCTAAAATTTTGGAGTAATGATCCCCCCTGCCCCACGCACGTACGATTTCCCAGTTCAAATTCAGCTTTCTTACGCTCTCGGGTATCACCTACGGCTCCGTAAAAATTTTGGCGGGGAAACTGTTGTCTCGGGAACCATAAAAGCCAGAAGCTAAATTTTATGGCAATGTCTTCTATCCACATACAACCCTGCAATTTTAAATTCAGCTTCCCGCGCGTCGAATTATCACTTATGCGTCGAAGTATCACCCGTGGAAGTTTCGGCGAAGCAGTGAAAATCATTAGCAGGCAATTTTTCGGTGAACGGAATTGCACAAAACGCATGATCGCACCGGCCGCCCTGGTGCGCGCCGCTATTTATTTTCGTTTGGAAGTACGATTCTTTGTCTGAGTGAGAAACAGTTGATTGCGAACTGGTATATTTATCTGTGGCCGTTTTCACGTTTGTACGATGATATAGTCGATTTCAATTCGGGGACATCAACTTCAGTTCTTCCCGGGATGGTTTTCTGGGTACGAATTTATTACGCGCAGTTTTGAACGGTGGACAAAATTCGTGAGTCTGCAAAATCTGTCATTTCTTGATTTTAGTTCAATGGGTATGCTAAATCTGCTCGGCCGGTCTCAGTGGTCGTTTTGGCAGCAGAGTTCTTAGATACCGTCGTATATGTTGTCTTCGACTGTAACTCTGCTTTATCTTTGTAGAAACACTCAATTTCGTTATCTTTAACCGCTGAAGTGGGTTAAATTAACAAATTTATGTTTTGCAAGGAGCTTATTAAACGTTGTAATTATTTCAGTACCAAAATCTATAAAAGTGATTCCCGGCGCAGCAATTAAACATCTCAAAATATTCGATGAAGCGGATGATTTGCCCGATGGT